ATCGCTATGCCAAAGGAGAAAAGTCGTACGAAGATTCGAACCTTGCCAATTTCTTTTGGATGAAGTTTACGTTTTCTAGAAAACTTGGAAATATATGTAAAAGAAAGGAAAATAAAAAAACCGGTTACCTGAACCTAGAACTTTGATTTTCCAGCAGAACCGAAGTTTCGTCGTTGTAATTGGATTTTTTTTTTTTTTTTTTTTTTTTTTTTTTTTTTTTTTTTTTTTTTTTTTTTTTTTTNTTTTTTTTTTTTTTTTTTTTATTTCCACGCTCAGGCGCAGTCCACTCAACACTGAAAAAAAAAGAATCTTAAATTTGCCGCCAAGAAGTATTTCTTCTTAAATCAAGCAGTTTGCTGGTTAGTTTTAGCTAATTTTTAGCTTAACCCAAACATTATTTTTCTTGTATCAAGAAAAAGTCATCTTAAAGCAAGATAAAAAATTCTTGGCGGCAAATTCAAGAATCATCAGGCTTGATCCAAGCAACTTTTTTTCAGTGAATCTCAGTGTACGAAATAATACGACACGCGGTTTCTCTCAGTGACATAGCGCGGCAACGCTAGCAGTCGGGTTTCTGCTCCCGGATCGGGAAACCATCAGTGGCGAGGCGTCAACGATCGATTTTCGATTTTTCCCCATTTGAATCTACGGTAAAGAATCGATTATTAGGGTGACCCTGTTTATCGATCCTTTTCCGTATGTTTGAATGGTAGATCGATCGATATATCGCGCTACTGGAGACCATTCTTCCGAACCTCTTCAGCCGGAGGGCGGGGGGCGAAGCGCGGGCGAATTGACAGGAAGAATATAATAGAAGATCAGGTGTCGGAGAAAATTGGCTCTCTCGCCCGGCCGGGCCGGGGAGGGGCGGGGAGGGCGAAAAACTAATTATAATCGTAAGAAGACACACTTCAATCAATCTTCATGTTTCACTTGTTCAAATAATTCCACTCGGCGGTGTTGTCGAAGTCGTCCCAAAGTGGGCTCCACTTCCAACGAAGCGTGGATCTCGAACGCCTGAGCTGGCGACTAGCGCCGCGTCGATGCTGAACAATTTTAGGGTTTAAATTTATGAAATTTCGATGAAATATTTTTCAAAAATTTTAAATGTATTTCGAAGAGCGTATGGGTCAGTTGCGCTGGCCACAGAATCGTGTTTTGACGCTTGAGTCTGGTTGATTAGCTACAAATAATAAGACTCCCAAAACGGCAACTTTCTTCGTTCAATATTATCCGGAATATCGCCCTTTGAAAAGTCGGGGATTTGACGTCATCCACCACTTCGAAAAGTATTATGAACTCAAAAAACTTAAGACTGGAGAAATGGACATCAGCGGTTTTCACACGTTCCGATTCAATTGTAAGACCACTAACTCTTGGATTCCAACCTCTTGCCTCGTCACTTCGACTCATTGTAATGAGTGACAGAGTATCAAATGCTCACTCGTTTTTGTTCAAATCTTTCGTAACTCTCTTGAGATTTCATGCACTGGAGGAAAAAAACACATCGGATCTAGAGTCCAGACTCTTGAAAACATTGACAAGAAAAAATACTCTTAATTCAATCGGACTTTTGCTTGAATCAAAACGAAATCCGCTTAAATTAAGAGGCTTGGTTCTTGATTTAAGCTAGATTCTAATTGAATCAAGAGTACTTTTTCTTGTCGATGTTTTCAAGAGTCTGGACTAGATCCAATGTGTTTTTTCCCCTAAAGTGAAATATTTCACGTGAAAATTCATAATTTTTTGTTCATGGAATTTAGCAACACCGCTCAGCGACTCGCTTATGTCTATGTCCTGTCGACTATGTAGGGGTTAGAAAGGGGGGGGGGCTCCACGGTTGGAGTTGATTCTTTTGTGTCCCATCAAGCGAGCCGGAGGCCTCGCGATTCGATTAAACGGAAACAATGCGGATCGTCAATTCGACAGCCCCGACGGTGACTCTTAAAGTCTTGAGAAAAAAGGCGTAACTGGGATCCGAGATGAGCCCTGCCGTCCGTAGAGCTCCGTGCTCTCCAGAGCTCACGTGGAAACTGAGTCGTTCCCTTTCGTTCTCGGAGCGAGAAGTCACCGTGCTCCGACGCGGGGCGAAACGAAACGGAAGCTCCTGTGTCCGTCTTCGCCGTACGGAGGATATTCTACAGTGCGAGAGTACGGACTTGTCGGTAATTTTGAGGTTAGATGATGGAGATCTTAGGGCCCAAAAGAGTAGCCAATCTATGAATCAGAGTATCTATAAGTCTAGAATGGAGATGTTGCATGTGTGAGGAATTTGTGATTTGACTATTGATTCTCATGTAAAAGTTCGCGAGAAACACGATGGTGCCACTGGTTTTCTCTGAAATTGACTTCCAAGCTCAAAAAAAGCTCTCAAGTTAAGGCCAAAATGGATGGGATATCCCACGCTATCCTGAGAGTCCACCTCTACATCAAGACAAACTCTCCATACAAAGATAGGGAGCAAATACATTGACAGGGCTGCCACTTTATTTTGGGACTCTAAAACTGAAAACACGGCAACCCTGCTAATGTATTTGCTCCCTATCTTTGCATGGAGAGTTTGTGTTGATGTAGAGGTGGACTCTCAGGATAGCGTGGGATATCTCCTCCATTTTGGCCTCAACTTGAGAGCTTTTTTTGAGCTTGGGAGTTGATTTCAGGGAAAACTAGTGGCACCATCGTGTTTCTCGCGAACTTTTACATAAGAATCAATGGTCAAATTGCAAATTCCTCACACATACAACATCTCCATTTTGAGGTTGGATGATGGAGATCATAGGGCCCGAAAGGGTAGCCAATCCAGAATTTTCGGAAAGTCCGGAAATAGTACTAATTTTTCCAGGGCGGTCCGGAAGTACTGAAAAAGTGCGGAAATTCTGCAAAAAGGTCCGGAATTTTACTCCTTTTTTTATTTTTGTCGCAAATTGAGCGAGAAATCCAAATTTTTGAAATTGTTCTGATAATTGTTCACTGTTCAGACAGATCTCATTATTTTTAGCTAATCTACAAGAATCGAGCATTGAAACACGATTCTGTGACCAGCGCAACTGACCCATTGTTACAAGCAGTCGTCGGCGAAGCACGTCTATATGACTTAGTTTTTTCATAAAACTCATTTTTACGGAAGAACGCTCATTTATGAGCATTCTTGGCCATCTTTGGTTTGATATTGGAATCTGAAGATTAGCAGTGACATTTTCCGTTTTCAAAGGTTTTCTGCTCTTTCAGGCCCTCAGAGCTCCATGTTTTGTTGCTTAATAAGAAGAGGAACCTGTAAAGTCTGATGAGCAACACTCAACAGTCTCATTTTTCTCTACGTTTCATCTCTCATCAATGAGCCGACATCGAAGGAAGAACAGTCGCGATTTATTGAAGTGGCAATACTCGTATCCAGCCCGAAACGCATGTTGCCAAGTTGCGCGCTATCGTAGACTTTAATATATTTCGCCTCCTGTACTGCCGTGCTAAGAAAGAACGACGTATGAACTTTCGAGAGTTGTCAAATTTCCTCCGATAAAACGTTTATTTTTTAGGGAAGTTATCAATATTCGCCCTTAAAATTTTTAGACCATTTAGATCAAATCACGAAGGAAATTCCCTGAAAAATCGGATGAAAAATGTTTATACATACACTGAAAAAAAAATCTCGGTGTATTTACCAAGAAAAGGGTAAAATTACCAAAAATTCAGGGTTCTATTCGATCCCAGTTTTTTCTTGGTAAAATTACCATTCATGGAATTGGTAATTTTACTGAGAAATCTCGGTAAAATTATTGAACTTTCTCGGTAATTTTACTGGACCTTGGTAAAAACGCCAATATTTTTTATCGACTGTGGTAGAACTACCGAGATAAAATGGCAAAGTTACCGGGAATTGATTACCAATAAAAGTGGTATTCTTACCTGAAAAAAAACAGTAAAAATACCGGGTTTTACGTAAGCGTACCAGTCTGTCGTGGTAAAATTACCAATAATTAGTAAAAAAGTGAGATGGTAAAGGTACCAACGGACCTTGGTAAAAACGCCGAGAATTTTTTTCATTGTATTCCCAGAAATTCGTGATTTATCATAGGAAATTCGGCAACGCTTAAAGGCTCATACGGCGTTTTTCCTTAGCAAGTCAGTGTAACGTCCGTGACTTTTCGACTCGTGTTGGCAATCGTGCTCGGACGCAACTTCTAACTTGCCGCGTTCCCTGGCCGTTCGAAGGTTGTGGAAATTTGATAGTGTTTCGGTCTCGGAGAATTATTAAACGCCGCGTACGCAGTCAATAAGTAAATGCATCGACGTTGATTACCGGAGGGGGGGGGGGGGTGAGATAAACGAAGCTTTAACAGAACTCCGATCCCTTTCAAGTCTTCGGTCAGTATTCAATTTTTCCGTCTCACTGACCAAGCAGGATCCGTCAACGGGCTAAATCAGGATCCAGCGGGCTGATTATTGAAATTTATAGACAAAGCTGTAGACAAAGGAGACATAGGGAGTATAAAACTATCCTTTTGGTTGAAATGGGTGGTTCCCATAAGTGTGAAAATATGAGAGGGCAATCGAGTGCCCCTTCATTCAAGTGTGTATGCAATTTGAGCAACTCGGGAGTTAATATAATTGTATCACGCAATACTGTTTCTCAGCGCATCTGGGCGGGCTGATCGTTGAAATTGATGGACGAAGCTATAGACAAAGAAGACATAAGGAGTATGGAATGATTCTACCGGTTGAAATAGATGGCAACTAGACTAAGGGAGAAAATGATGGACTAACTATCGGGTCTCTCGTGGGTTGTCGTCAGTTAGTCTATTACCTACCCTCTTTGCCCATTGCAACCACTTGCTTCCACCGACAGGATCCATCCAAATCCCTTTAGTCTTATTTGTCTACAGCTTTGTCTATCATTCTCAATAATCGGCCCTCTGGGTGGATTTTTCCTCTTAAATTGAGCATGAACTTGAGTATTTTTCTGTAATCTTATTCTAATCAATTGTGTGGTTTTCATGTTACAGATGGTACACTATGTATCTGCCTCAGCTCTGACAGCCCAAGCAAAACAAACAGCAATGCCTTCCCATCCAGATCTTTTTGGCCAGCTCCTAAAGAAGGCTGGCGGTATGGGAGACATCAGAGACTGTCCGGTAAGCGTATTGACCGCCTTCTGTGTCAGCATCTTAATTTTTGCTAACATTTTCCTCACCCAACAACTTCTCAATTCACTTTTCTTTTTTTTCAATTTGGAACAAGACTCTTAAGTTTTCAAGATAGTGTTCCTCAATGGTGGTATTCTGAAATAAGCAACGTTGAAGTTGCATGGATAATGAAAAAGCACTTTTGAGCTAAATGAAATTTTATTCCTTGTAATTTCATTTTTTCACGAAAACGTACATTTGAGTACTAGGATTGTGGAATTTTGTCTAACTAGCCTTAACCATGAATTCAGCGACGCCGAAAATACCAGAATACTGAATTATATGATAGTACGATCATTTCCCGATATTTGTCCAAAATTTTGCGCTCCCAGACCCTAGTGCGGTGAGAATTTACAACCGTGAGTACTACGTTTACTACGCATGAGTGATCGTGAGTAAGATGGCGGAGCTCCCGAATTGCGCAGCCAATGACAGCGCTTCATTGCTTTCATTCATAAAAAAATGTAGGCCATTCATTGTTTTGATTTTGAGTTATCGATATGATCCTTGTTATGTTTTCGGTATTTGAGGAGGCGAGAACTAATGAGTTCAATCATGTCTAAATTTCTGTCAACCTTTATCTCCTCACACTTTTGCATTTTTATTGTTCGTTTCATACGCCCTGATAATTTTTTATCACATCATTAATTTAATCACCATTATGTGTGTATTGACACCTAGCCGGCCGTGCAGTCTTCGGAGTAGGTCGAATTTCTATCAATCACCTGTTTTTTGTTTGTGATTTCACGTATTTTCTTCTTACTAAAGTTTCGTTTCAATCGCTATTGTTTCTTCAACATCTTGAAGAGGCTTGTCTTTGCTCGGTATTAACCAGGTTTGTCCCCCTACATCAATTACGCACACAAGTACATTGGTCCTTCTCAATTTTTTAATTATTTATCTTCCCTCAATTCTTGTTCACCGACAGTGAACTAAATTGTTTCTTTCTGTCATGTTCTTTACAGAGTGCATGTGGTGCCAAAATCCAGATTCAGCGGACGCTCATGAACAAACCAGAAATTGTGTCCGTTGGAGTTGTTTGGGATTCAGACCGACCCTCTTTAGAACATATCATGGCAGTTTTAGGAACTCTCCGTACGTCTTTGCGGCTGTCGGATGTTTTCAATGGCTGTGATGCACCGGGCAGTCCACAGCATGAACTCGTTGGAGTTGTTACGTACTATGGAAAGCACTATTCAACTTTCTTCTTCCACACAAAATTGCGAGTCTGGATATATTTTGATGATGCAACTGTACGCGAGGTTGGCCCTCGATGGGAGCAGGTGAGTCCAAAATCAATTTTTGCACTATTAATGGAACATTGTGGAATCATTCCTAGTTCCAATGACCGATTTTCTTATTATCTTTAAAGGCGAATCTGCCATCACTCTAATAAGTATTCTCTGGTTCCTACTTAACAAATCAATTCATAGTGACTACCTGGAGTGCGAAGTATTTTTATTTTGAATGAGATGTCATGCAACCAGAAAAATTGGAATGCTCATCCTTATCTTGATAGTGAAAAGAGGAAACCCTGAATTTCTATCTACGGTGTTGCAAAATTTCCGTAGCATTTCAATCTACTCCATGGAGGAAAACCATCCTTTTAATGTACCAGATTCTTCGCATTTCAAAAATGTTCCTCGAAAAGTCCTCTGTAATTATTTCTTACTTGCCTGGTTTTTTACCTAATACAATTGCGCGGATTACTCTCCCTGTTCAAATGTACCGTATTGCAGGTGGTCTGGAGTTTACCGAACCGAGATTTCTGAGTCCAGCCATTGATATTTTCCTCCCTCTACTTAAAGTAGTTAATTTCAATTTCTAGTTCAACGGTACTTTGGAAAATAATGCACTTATAAATTAAATCTAAAATGCATCAATTTTCGAACATTAACTCAGTTTCTCATCTTGTGTATCTAAAACGAATTTAAATTCTTTTTGCAGGTTGTCGAGAAGTGCAGAAGAGGGAGGTATCAGCCACTCTTACTTCTCTTCGCTGTACCGGAAGGTACTCCATTAGACACGACAAATGCTCCCAAAACCATTACCAGAGCACAAAATAAACCAATGAACGGTTTCATGCGCAGTTCATTGTGCAAACCACTCCAGCCTGGAATGGTTCCCAATTTAAATTCGCCAACAATCATTGGTGGAAGAAGATCTCTCACTCCAAGCCCAGAGAAACCGAATGGAATGAACGGCATGAATCAGAGAAGAGCTGTTACTCCCAACCCAGATCAAACACAAGACAAGCCTGTAAGTACCTATCTTCTCCCTAAGAATTTTCTAAGTAGTGAAAATTCCGTTGAGAATCTGAAATATCGGCCCTGTTTGATTTCAGGCAATGAATGGAATTAAATGATAAAGATGTTTATAATCATGAGATCTTTTGAAGCAGTGTTAATTGTTTATCAATCATTAGAGCATGCTGCACAATGAGAGGATTTGATTGCGTAATGTAGTTCTATTTTTACATGCACTTAGTGTGAGAATCCCCATTATTTTCTATATACCCATTACCACCTTGTCCAAATAACTGAATACTTAGCCACAAAGCACAACTTGCAGTGTGTATACTGAAAAATGTAAAATATTCAGCTTTTTAAATAGGTTCTCATAAGTTGCAAGGAAATGTTACTGAAACCAAATTATAAACTAAGAACATAGTAAGATTTTATAAGCAGGAACATAAAGCACTCATATCAGTATCAGATGTTATTGCTGGTAATGCTGTTTCTGCTCCATTGCAAATTGAATTCATCTTCAAATTACTGAGGGCAAGCAATAATCTCTTTTTACTCCAAGCTGTGCTGTTGTAGTAATTTTTAGTATTACCAATCTTGGACTACCGCAACAGGAAAAAGTAATTTCCAAAGGTAATCACTTGACTTTTAATATTCACATTTTTATAAGACCTCTGGTTTGTTTCGTTCACAGAAAATCATGAATGATTATCAGAACTTGTCTCTCATCCAAGTTTCAATCAACAAGCCCCCAGACAGTCCTACAAGATGTAGTTTAAACAGTTACGGAATGCAGTCTCCAGCTCACAAAAGGAACGAGATAGTGCGCAGAGACTCAGGAAATTGGAGTGGGGACCGAAACAGCGCGTCTTCCTCCTCCTCAACTTCATTGGAAAATCCTTATTTGTACATCGTCAATAAAATGCAGCTCCGGTAAGTGTCATCAAAAATGTCAGATATTCATCACAACCGTTCTTTGTATGTCCAGTACTGATGCATACTGAAACTTTAAGTTCGGTGTTCTCCATGAGTGCAAGGTATGAAATAAAGGATTGTGATGTTTTCAGACTGTCCCTAACAGGAAGTAAAGCACCAGGAAAAATCCGAAAAATTAGGAAATAACAAAGAATTTATGCAGTCTAGAAATATAACGTTAGGGTTGGGCTCGCACAAGAACTTAATAATTTAAATTTGTTTTGAAAACGCATTTGCTTGTTGTTTTGCCGGTATAAGGTATAAGGAAAAACAACGTGCAAGTGAGTTTTCATAACGAATTTAAAGTCTGGAAACAATTCAGAGACTGAGAAAAATCAGACTATTTGTCTCTTTCCAAGGGTCTTTCTAGATATAACCACTTTTAACGTATTTACCACAGACATTTGAGAATATTTTGATCAAACATCTTATGTCCATATCAGCGTTGCTAAGATTATGCTCCTTCTTGATTATTTAGCATGGGTACAGAGAATCATTGGTTCTGTTCTGTGTTTTGCCTCCAAACTCCGAGATATTAACAGTGTCTTGGCAAGGTGAGGTGTTGTATATTAATTCACAACACCTCAGTTTCTAATCATTACTTACAATACAAAATGGTGTTGTTCAATTGGAAATCTATTTAATTATATTTCCTGAAATTCTTCATTGTTAACATCTGATAATTTTTCTCTTTTTCAGAGGCTCGAATGGTGTGCCAAGAAGTCCTACAAGTATAAAACCAGGAGAGCTATCAAGCTCCAGCACTGGAAGCGGCGGAGTTTGTGATCCTGGTTACGACTCGTACTCTCTCTCTTCAACTGATAGTCTTCCTCTGCAACAAAGTCTCAAGCACAATTTACAGGTAATTTTTTTTTACCTCTTTTCAGTTTTATTAATGTTTATCGATGTGCTTTAACCGTAAATTTTAAATTTACCGATAATGAATGCAGCCGTGCATTTCCTTAATTTTTCTCATCAAAAATGCTTTATAAAAAGTGGATTGCCATTAAAAAATCAGAAAAAAATATTCCCCCGATTATGACAGAGTTGCTTTGTTTAATTTATTAGTTATCTGAGCACCTGTAAATGTATATTAACTCGGAATTTTCTGGCAGTGAGCTTTTGCAAAATTCTGTTTTCCATCAAGATTTTATCCTCACTTCAGGCACTTCATCAATTTTTAAAAAATTTCTACCAAAATTGAATCTAAAATTTGACAGTTGTCCCGTTTGAATCCATTCATAGCATTCCATGCATTCCATTTGTTGTCTTCTTTTCTATCTTGCTTTGTTTTTCCAAATATTTATTCAAATTTTTTGCCTTTTGTATTTTAGCTTGCACAAATTCCAGAGGGACATCAAACACCTATCAATGGGGTTGGAGCGTATGCAAATGGTCTCCCTAACTCTATAGGTAAAGTTTTGTTTGTTTTTCAAGTTTTCATAACTAATGCCCGTCAGCAGAAATGCACATGGATGAGGAGAGAACTCGTGCCCCTTCCCTTGTAGTTATTGCCTGAAATATTTATTTATTCATTGAATTTACAGTTAAAGAAAGACATACAGGGCCACTAGGGCTCCAAAGTGTATCTAATTGACGTGAAGAATTTATCAACCAAAATATTGGTCTGGATCCCAACAGTAAATCAAATAATTCACTACAAGAATGCTCTACATGAATGTAAAAAATTTAATGCTTTAAAGCTCAACATAATAATGAAAGTCAAGTTTTGGAAAAAATTGTATTATGAAAAGCAAACCAACCAGTTTGCAAAAAATGTTCTTCAAATACTGATAAGTATCTCATATGACATGTTTTTAATTTGTGTTTCTTCTTATCACGAGTAAACTGCATCGAAATTGAAACAATTAAAATGCTAATTTCAAATCCCTTACTCTCACTCTCTGTTGCAAATAATCAACAAAATTGTTTGACCAATTACTCAGATATGTCTGTAATCAGAGAAAAAGAAAAACAACTTGATCAGCCAAAGCACATAATAAAATAACAACTTAATTTGGAGAAAGGCTACAAAAAACATTATAAACAAAAAAACCCGGAACGTTTCGAAATAGATTACAATTTCATTATCAACGGGAAACATAAATAAAAATAAGTCATCGATTTGCGTTGTTTCGAGACTGAGACTGACTACAAGGTGAACAAATTCGGCCCAGTGCAGCAAAATCATAGGCTTCTTGAACCCATCTAATCAAGAATAGGTCTCTACAAAAAGTTGCCTCTACGCAATACTTTTTCTGTGGATAGTCAAAAACCATGTTATTCCTAATTTCTTGCTCTTTAAGATAAATTTCAAAATCAATAATTTTGGACTTATTTCATTTTTCCAGATGACTGTGAGCGACTATGTGCAGAAGCCGATCAACTGCTTGGTCGCTCTGAAGAAGCTCCAGATCTAGAAACTGCATTATCTTTGGCGAATGCTGCCGCTGGAAAAGCGCGCGCTGCCATGGACGCCCCATACAGTAACCCCCAGACTGCAAGTTTTGCCAGAATGAAACATAATTCCTGCATTATGAGAGCACGCAGCCTTCACAGAAAGTTGGAAGAGCCTTTGAATACCAAACGTAAGTCCTATTTTTCAGGTACTTTTATGAATATGTTGGATGGTTGACATCCCGGGGGGGTATTGTGTTGTTGTTTGATTTTTAAATTTCAGCCGACTTGTATGACGAAAAATAATTCTGCAATTCCATGCCTGTTAAGTGCCTTCATTTCCTTCAATCATGCTAATGGTTTCGTTTTTGAGATTTAGGCAGCTATAAATATAAAACAGCATTCTTGAGTCACTACAAACATGCTGCTTTAATTAAAAAGTATCCAAATAAACGAACAATGTTTGTATTTTGTTGCTGCACTTTCTTCATGTTCGATATATTTTGCCCATGTATGATGACTTCATTGTTATATCTTTGTTTTTCCATCTGACTGTGCAGACAGAGCTTAAAGCAAATTTACTCTGTTCACAAATGAATATGAGATTCAAACTTCGTCTTTTTAACAGGAGAGGATGTTATTCACTCTTCAAATGCATCAAATTTACTCATTGAAACACTTTCGGTTCGATAATTATTCTTAAATTCATTTCAAGTACCATCATAAAGGCAAACTTATACAAAATTCTAGTTTACTTTTTAGTGTCATTTAACTGAGTACATGAATGCACAATGTAATAGAATAAATTTATGTAATTGTTTTGAAGTTAAAATAGCCTGATTTAAACGTTTGAATATAGTTTAATATTTCACTATTTTTCTCTAAGTGTGTGTTTATTTATTAGAATTTGGAATTTTTTTTTCAGATGGAGAAGGTCGCCACAGTAGAGAAGGCAGCGGAATCAGCACGCGCGGATCATCTCACTCTCGGCAAAACTCTGCTGACAAATCCAATATCCATCACTCACGGCAGAATAGCCGAGAACTCCTAGCAAGCACCCCAGCACTAAGTCCTAGTCAGCTCTCTACAAAACTCGACCGTCACATTGAATCCAAGCTACCATCCACCAACGAACGAAGTGGCCCCAACAAAAATATAGAAATTTATGCCACTTTACCTAAAAGCAAAAAAGGACTGCTTTCACGTAGTAGCAGTAACGGCAGCACGAATAAATCCGGCCACATAATGGAAGACGAAGAATATGTATACGACCGGCCAGGAAGAAGTCTCTACTCAAGTAGGTCAAAGAGTGGGAAAAAAGAAATGGAGAAACGAGCGCGAAGCGAGGAGAGAAATAGCAAAAAGCAACAAGAGTTTGTATCAAATTCATTGCCAAAAGAAAAAGACTCAAAAGCAAAGAAGGCAGAGAAGAAGGCTGAGGCGAAAGCGAAACAAGAAGAGACTAAAGAAGCAGGGAAAAAGCAGCATAAGATCAGGCGCAAACTTTTGATGGGTGGACTGATCAAGCGAAAAAATAGGAGCATGCCAGATTTGCGCGATGATGAAATCGCGGCAAAAGAACCAAGTGCCATATCGACTGGATCCCTTAAAATCATGGCTAAGGATGATTCTGTCGTTGGAAAACACTCCAAGCTGGATAAAGACTCCAGCAGTGGTCTAAGTGACTACCTATCTGAGGGACATCTAGAGTACTCAGCAAATCCGAATTTAGAGAGAAGTAAGTTAATGAGAAAAAGTTTCCACAGTAGTAAACTTATTCATTTTGCAAAAGTACCACCGCCCCCTCCCTTGAGGACCACCTCGCAACTCAGTAAAACAGATCAACCGCAGTACCCGTTACCAAATAATCAAAACCACCTGAAAGAACATAAGAACTGGAATAATGAACCTTTATCGTTACCTTTCATGACACATTACGGGGAGAAACCTAAAACTGACTCCATCACGTATGCCAATGGTGGAATCTTGCTGCACAACTACCCCCAAACAAATACGTTAGTGACGAAGGCGCTCGTTCATCAAGAGCAGCACACATCCCCAGTTAAAACTCCTGATATTGATGTAGTTGATGGTATGATTGTAAATAAGGTAGAAGATGTCGCCACTGCATTTCCATTACCTCCATATCCGAGTCCGCTAGTATCTGCGACTCACTCTAGACAAGCAAGTGAGGAATTCCCTCCACCTCCTCCATCTGTCGTACCGTTGGCTGAGGACAATGGTGGGTTTGACGAGCCAGAAAGTAGCTTGTTATTGGAGCTGCGCCAAAAAAGACAGCAGATTTTAACTGAGTCTGTGGAGAGGGATGTAACAGAGGCGGTTGCTATTACAAAATCGCTTGGAGGTGGTGATACGTGGCTGAAGGAGTTGCAGGCCAAACAGGCTGCGTTAAGGGGTAAGACTTTGCTGAAGAACAGTCCTGTGATAACAAATTTGAATGACGCTACATCAAGGCTACCCACACAGACGGATGTCAGCACAATCAAAGCAGCATCGCCAGTTCAGCAACCAGCAGTCGATGAACAGTGTTCTTTAGTCAAAGATTTGAAATCAAAATTTGAACAAATTAAAATACCAAGGACAGATTCAGAGCCCATTAGAAGTGTCTCCAGCCCTTGCGAATCACCAGCAACGTTGGGACAAAATCCTGGACCAAGTCCTAATTTCGAGCAAATTGAAAAGGCTCCTTACCCCACAAAAAGTATCATAGATCTGGACCCAAAGCGGAGGTCTGGTAAAAAGAAAAACGTCACGTTTTGTGAACAAGTTGTTCTCGTTGCAACGGCTGATGATGACGAAGTTGACAGTTTTATCCCTAATCCAATCCTTGAGCGTGTTTTGCGCTCTGTTCTCCACAAAGACTCTCCTGCTATTGATGTCAGCAGAGATGTCAAATCTGTTGTGCCATTGAAAAGGACAGATTCTTGTAACAAATATGAGCAAAGTTTGTCCCTCCGCAATTCAAGTTCTACGAATATCGATGATCAGCCCTCAACGCAATCGAACGATGAAACACCAAGTCAGCCCTTAACAAAAGCTGTCAGTGATCAAATTGCAAATGCAAATGCACAGAGTCAAAATCCATCTCCTGTTGCATCGCAAATTGTGAGTCATTCTTCTGTGTACCAGCATGCAACTAAAGTACAACATTCACCTCTGTTCAATCGCCCTATGACTGCCAATGCGTACCAACAAGTGCCTGTAAGTAATTCTCAGAGAGTGAGCCAACCTTTGCCATCGCCCTCATATCAGTCAAATCAACCAGCTGCCAGTGCTCATGCGTATCAGGCGAACGAGACGCCGTCTCCACAATACACGCATTCACAAGTGTCACAGCAGCATAGAGCCAGTACTCAACCTACGACACATCAACACTCTAGTCAGTACTCACATCAACTAAATTCCCACTCTCATCCGATTCAATATTCATCACATCAACAAGCTCAGTCACAAGTTTCGAACCAACAGTCCCCTCAAACTCAAACTAATCACCACCAACATCATCCGCAATCACCCTCTACAAGCCAGTACTCCCCATCGCATCCATCTCATCCTCATTCTTCATCACAATCGCCTTACCAACATGTCCCTGCTCCGGCACAACAAAATTCGTCTCCCCACTTACCCCCGACTGGGCCTCCCCTTACATCACCCTATCAACCCATTCCCTCATCACCCCACCACTCTCAATCTCACCCACCGACCTCACCTTACCAGCAAGTGCCATCGCAGCATTCTCCGTCCCCTCACCTATCGCAAAGTCCCTCGCATCTATCGCAATCCCCCTACCAACAGGTACCTAACTTACAATCAAACAATCCATACCAGAAGCATGGTCCAAACAACGCTCAGCATTCATCTTCATACCATGGCTCGCACCACTCAAGTCCTCAGACTAACATGCCCAATCAACAATTATCGAACTCTAATCATTATGATCAGCATGTGAATAGCCACTCTCCGTACCAGCAAGTGCCCTATGCTAACGGCAGTTCAAGTGAAACGCACTCACATCCTTCAAGTATGTCTCATTCGACATCTTATCAATCTCTGCCCTCTCAAAGCTCGAGTAACCACTCAAATCAATCCTCAATTTCTAGCTCAGTCTATCAGCACGTTCCTCATCCTCAGCAATCGAGTCCATCGTATCATTCGACAAACGGTAACCAACAATTCCATAGTAATGAGCGCCCTAATAGCTCGCCATACCAACACATACCGCAGTCATCCCCAGCATCGCAACAGTATCAGAAGAGCACCCTAGGTATGAGCCCTAGTGCTTATCAAAGTGTTCCCTCCCACTCACCCTCACAAAGTAGTGATCAAGGACAGTCGAATCATTTACCGAACCACAATCCTCACGCTTCTATGAACGGCCATCAACATTCCAATCCTGGCCGTCCGTACGATCCAAGGACAAACAACTTCTCACAATCCTCCGGTAATCTGGCACACCCTGATATCCGAGGCCAGAGTGACAGATTTTCGACACACCACGGCCAAGCAGCAATTCACTCAAGTTACCAACAGAACTCGCTGAAAATGCAAAGCAGGCATCAGCCCATCGCACGCACTACAATAGCGCCCCCGAGTCAACAAATGTTGTCACGGAATCAGCGAGTCCAAGGCATTTACCAGCAAGATCCCCCAGAGTATCAGCACCCTCCATCCCCTAGAATCAGCATTCCGAATGGTAACCATATCCCTAATGGAAATCATATTCCGAATGGTCATGTACCCAATAGTAACCATCTTCCTAATGGAAACCATCTACCTAATGGGGCACATATCCCTAATGGCCATATTCCCAATGGGGGCCACATGGGTAAAGATGGTGATACACAGAGTGAGGTTTACCAGCGAATTCCACTCAATGCACAGGCGCAAATGAAACAGAGGCAACTGATCGATCATCACAATAGCGTAAACCAACAGTTGTCGTATGGTCCAGGAAAATATCCTGTACCACAACATGTACCCAACACGACTAAGGTCATTGAAAATGGGACAGTAAAAGGCAGTCCTCAAGGTCTTGCACATTTGCGGACAATTCAGTGTAATTTGTGCCGCAAGAAAGATATTATCCCACCAGCTGTTTACTGTGCAGACTGTGACTTTTATATGTCCCGTTTCAAACCTAAAGCGTAATATCTGTGATGAAATCAGTTGACTGTGTTCTTTTTAGGCTTAAGTTCATTCGCGGCTGTGTTATTGATGTAGGTATTTTAGTAAGCTGTTTTCTGTGATATTTTGGGTACTTAGTTTTGTTGAATTTGTTTGTATGTTTTATTGTTTTTAAACATTCTTTAGATCTCAAGATTGATTCTTGCTCTTTATGTTTTTACAATTGTTTTAGGTACAGGTGGTCTTGTATCTTAATTTTTCTCTCTTTGTTCTCAATGACTGCCGGTAGTTATTATCTCGAACCATGGAGTTTATCATGTATTGCTTCTTGCAATTTAAGTTACGACTCCATTCTAAAGGGAAGGTGTCATAATAATTCTTTGAAATGAGTATTTTTTCTTTTACCTATTTTCTTTTCACCTTTTTGAAGTGTAATTGTTTATAAGATACTCTAACTTTTCCAATGTTCAGTTTATTCTCTTTTTTTCTTTTAAAATTCAGATTTTAATTTTAAGAGAGATGGCTGTGTTTAAGTTAGTTATGTTTAAGTTCTTGCTCTTTCAATGAATCTAAAAATACTCTTTACTATTGTAATATTGATCTATTCTCTTTGTGTAAATTTATACCGATTTGTTCAATATGTTTAGTTTTAGACACCAATGTGACTTGGAAGATAATTTAGGAATCACTGGATTCCAAAAATACTTATAATTTTTTTTCTGATCTTAGTGTTTTACATAATAATTTTGGAAGCATGTCCCATTTTTTGTATAGAAACAAAATTTTATGATGTAATTTTGAATTGAAGGTTTTTTTATAAGTTTTTAATTGACAAGCAATGAAAAAAAGTTCAAAATACGCTAAAATAATTTTAAAACTGCTTCGTTGTGGGCAGATGCAGGTCCTCATCTATTATCTTTTTGAAAATTTGTACCTAGCTATATACGTACTGAAGACGTACTAAAGTTCAAATTTTTTTTAAACATTTTGTCCAGATTTTTACTTTGTGTGAGACGATCTCAGTTGAGTATTATGAGAGGATTTATTTCAATGGAATTGTTATGAATGGTTGTTGATCATATTTTTAATAACTTTTATTTTTGTAAAAAAGAATGTTTTGTAAATCAACTTTCCAAATAAATACTGTACAAATTAGTTGTAAGGAATAGAAATAATAATATATTTGAATCAAATGAATAAATGAATTATTTTTTTGATGAAAACTATGAAATTTTTTTATTTCCACAACTTTCATCTCATATCAAAAGTAAAATATATAATTTTTGGATCACCGTGTTCTTAAACTTCTACTCTCTCTTCTTTTTTCGTAAGAAAAGAAACTGAAATTTTGAACACAACTCCGAAGTTTTTACACCATATTTTCAGTAAGCAAGGGAAACAAAGAAGAAGAAAAGCTTAAGATTTCACAAATTATATAAATTTGGTTTCAAGCATTTACATGAAAATGTGAGAGGAAGCTTTGCATTTGTTAGAAGAGACCTTATTTTCCAACACCATTAACACTCAAACAAATGGCAGCATTCAACAGGGAACTTAATTATTTTTCTTAAATGGAAACAGCATTTTTGCCGTGCAGTTAGATGCTTAGTTGAGCCAAAAAAATAAGAACTTTTTTAAGAAGGAAGGTATAGCTAGATATGCTTTGATGGAGTCAGGCATAAGAGCTTTTTAGTTCAAGAATGAAGACAAATTATTTCGAACACAGAAAAAACCAATAACGAGTATAAGGTATCAATTTCCAGCTTTTGATGGTAAATACTTTCTATTACCCTTACGAACCTCGAGTTACAAATTTAAGTCATGATTTCATAAGTATTTAGAATGAATCTCTCTAAGGCTGGCAGCAGCATCAGCAAACTTTATTCGTGCTTTGACCAAATATAGTGATTGTGATTGTTTTTCAATCCTAGAGATCTCTTTAAGGGTCAATTTGTAAAGGTTTCAAGCGTTCTCTGTGTCAAATGAAGCAGAATTTATCCATCTGAGGTGTAGATAGTTTATGTAGCTATCTTATTTCATTCTTCTTTCAACTTAAGGGCTTTTTCGCCTCACTGCATAACATATGATTCTGATTTGTTGTATTATCATGGACGTGTGAAGTTTTAATGTTAATTGTTTATTGCTCACTTTAAATTCTGCACGTATACTCTAAACTAGTCCCTTTTATAATCTGATGAGGAATATCTTATGAAAAGCAATTACGAGTTTTTTGCAAAATTATACCTTCAAATGCTTGTGAAGTTTTTAAGTAATTATTTTCATTAAAGAAAACTGTACCTAATTAGTTCCTTTGTGACTTACAATTTTTCTTCAACTTTTAAAAAATACTATTGAACATGGGAGAATGTTCTTTGGTTTTCAATTTTTGCGTGCAAAAATAAGCCAGAAAGTGAAGTTTAGAACAGATCGAGTCCCCTGTTCCATTATTGGTATTTTAAGTAAGTTGTGGCACTGTTCAATCACGATGAAAAAAAACTTTGAAAGGTGCAATCTCAGTCTCCAACTCAATTATACTATAAGGGTACCTGTATGGAGACTCAAAACAACACTTTCGCAACGTCTGAAGGAAACTTGCGCTCCGACTGAACAGGAGCGTCAATTCAAAAATTCGCGGGCGATGAGCCACCAATAATCACAGATTGAGCAGCGAAAAATAGCATTCAACATAAACAAACGTTTTCAGGTTAGGTTATGTATCATCCTCCTCATCCACTTCAGCAATCTAGCGGCTTCTTTATCAGTACTCAGTAAATCACTGAAGTATGTGTAGGAAATAATAATTAAACCTAGAATAATGTGAACCAACTTTTTAGAATTGGTATAATTTTTTACAAATATAACGCAAGTGATTACTAGTCGTATTTTTAACAGTGACATCCTCGACGGACACCATTTGACACTTCAGAATGCAGAGGTGTGCCCAGCTTTCTGGTAAGTTTATTGTTTTGTCCTTCGATCAAATTCTTCTCTTAAAGCTTTAGATTGCCTAGGAAGTTTTGTCTCAATTCAACCATGTAGAAGCGGAGGAAGACATGAACTTAATAAATCAAAGAGAACTCTGTTCTGCAGCACAACCGGCAGCTATCTCATATTAAATGGGGAATGGTTTTCATCTCTCTCCAGTTTTGAATCGAAGCACAAACCTAAAGCTTGTCAGTGACAGAATGGACTTGTACCCAAAGCATTTAATCAAGTAGACCATGCAGCCAGCTCGGTTTTGTACGGGCGCAGCATGAGAAGTTTCTTGGAACTTCATGAGGACAGGCAGGGAGGGGACGAGAGCGTGTGTCCCAAGCACTAGTATAGGCTGCAGAGGAGCTGTGGAGAATCCAGTTGCATGCTCGGTTTTTGCCAATATCTCTAGATGAAATCCTATATATCTAAGTAATCTCTAGACAAAATTCCTAAGAACTAAAGTTGTAAAGTATATAAATTTGTATCCGAATTGCGAAGTTTCATTTTTCCGGACTAATTACGAAAAGTGCTAAGAAAAGTGCCTCACAAGCCGACAAAAATTTACTGGGGTCGCTCCTGCGCATGCGCAGGGGGCATCTAAAATTACTGATGCGAGGTGTGGGGCCCTACACTCATTAGTTAGTGCGCCATGCAATTTTTTAAAAGTTGTCGCTGCCTCCGTAACACAGGATAAATGAAATCATCTATTTACATTTATCCGGAATGATTTTGGAACCAAATCAATCATTGTCACTCTCATCATATTCCTTCACACATATACTGTACATAATTTAGACCATCTCATTCACTGTACCTACCGTGAGAAACTTCATGAGTACCTACTCTTGAGAAACTTCATCGTGAGTGCCATTAGAGGAAAAATGTACCTAAGTAAGCACTTTAAACTAGGAACCACTGCTTTCAAAACTGCATCTTTACCTAAGAAATTGCATGATTTTTTTAAAAGTTTGTTAAGCACCTTTTTTCCTTTGCTTCAGATTCGAGCAGTGATGATGATGACAATTTCGAAGAGGTACCTTCGGAAAACAGCAATTATTTCAGTCCAGGCTTTCATCAATCGGGAGGTTATGACTTACCATCCCCTGTTAAAAGGCGTAAACCATCCCAGTCAACAAGTTCTAATCCCATCAATGATGATGAAAGTGACAACCTTTCCTCTATTTCGGCGAATTGTGAGTCAGATTATGGTTCAGTGTCTGGCAAACGGAACCATCGGAGCATGTCGCTTATGAGTGAAGACTCTGAAAAAAACTTCCACGATTCAACTCATGATGAGTCCATTTATGGAAACTCGTCCTTACCAAAGTTCTATGCTACACCCTCTGAGAGGGGACGGACGATTAGTCAAGATTTTTCAGAAAAAGATGGTGAGAATTACTACCTGTATCTATTTAAATTTAAAATTTTAGTTTTTTGAGCTTTTCTCTAATCAGCCAGTTTTTTAAATTTTCTCGTTTGCCAATTGAACTTGCAGGTGCCACAGGGTTAGACTACAAAACTGTTTTTGAAGATCGTGCTGAGGGTCACATCTAGAGTCTACTGAACAATAAAATCTGCAAAAAATACCCACTCACTTTTTGGGTCTGTCCTGGGCTCTCATTTCAAAAACCCTATATTTTCCCAAATGCGTGTACTTTCAACCTTCTTTCAAAGAGAGGATAAATAAATAGCAAGGAAAAGGTGCTTCTTAGTAAAGGAGACTATCACAAAAATACTCTATAAGCCCTGAAATCCTTTAAAGCTCACTGAATTTTTTCTGGAGGATATCAGTAGATACCCTGGGGTTTAGAATGCCCTCTTATCTTGCGGATTACTTCTTGTTTCTTGAGGTTTTTAAAAATTTTAGGCACTTTTTGTGTTGATTTGAACGAAACTTCTCAGCAGCAGGTAGAGGTGTCGTCAGATAAGTTTACCATTGTTTACTTTCGGTTTGCAAGCATTTTCACGTCACTACTATCCACATGAAAACATCCGACTATTGCAGAAGCAAGAACACAAGCTTAGATAAGTTTTTTAATACTTTCAAACCTTTTAACACTTTAATATTCAGCCTAACAGAAATCACAACCACACAAGTCGTGAATGATAAGTAATAAGTAGTTTTTTGTTGATACTATCATGAGACAGATGTTTTCAAGGTGTATAGTAGCAAACGCCGCTTTGTGTGGAGGCCTAAATTTGCTGTCTGCGCTTTCAAACCGTAAGTGAACAATGGTCAACTTATCTTACGACACCTCTAGGTGTGCGTATCTCCAAAAGTGTCCTCCTGCAAAAATGTAAAAATGGGTGAAATCAAAGTTAGGTAATTTTCAAACTCGATGATTCAATCATCAACCAGAAACTTCGAAACAGTCACTGTGAAAATTTAGGTCCCAAAAAACTGCTACTCTTATACTGTTCTAATGTTTCTCCCAGAGTCGAATGATGAAGGGTCCACCCGCACTGCACAAGGATATTTCTCTGGAGCCTCGGAAAGGGTGCGAACAAAGAGCCAGGAGCTATCGGAGTTTGAGTCCAACGAAGAGGACTATATGTCCTCAACGTCTGCCTCGGATGTGGATGTGAAACCATCAAAGCGCAGGTCGGAAGATTTCCCCAGTTATAATCCTCGAACAAGTTTTTACGGATCCAATCAAAGCGAAGGAGTGTCAGCGTCCAAAAGCTACGAATCGAATGATGAGGAAGCCGACAAGCTTTCAGCAACATTGGCGAATATATCGAAGAAACAATCCAGCTCACCAACGAAAGGAATCAAGATGACAGAGAACTTGTATATACCCAAAACTAGATTTTCAAAAAGCTCTAGTTGCGATACGGTTCAGAGTTCCTCCACCTCAGACTTCTCCTCTTTTGAAGGCAAAAGGAAATCGACTGATTCTGAAGAGGAAGTGAATTCTGGTCCACCGCCCAAAAAGTCCAAGAGTGTGGCGATCAAAACCAGTGGTGCTGTTAGCAAAATGATGGTGAGTTATCATTTACATGTACATATATATCATTCTATTCTAATTAAAATTGACTGTATCCTCTCTTTAAAATGAATCGTAAGTGTACTTTCAAGTTCGCAAATATTTCCGTTTACACCTACTTATTGCTGTCTGCATAATATTCCAGTTTATCAAATCAATGAGGAGATGAACAAGTTAGGTGAGGGTCATAATAGGGCAGTGCCAAGGAATTTTTGCAGGGTTGTAGTATAGTTTTGCTTACTTACGTAAAATTTTGTGAAAAAACCAAAAACTTCATCAAAAATTCCATCATATCATTTCAAAGGAGAGAGAAAGGTAATCAAAATCCAACCAATCAAAAGTTGACAGTTGAGTTGATGTAGCTAGGCGATGCCTGCAATTGAGTACAGCTAATCAGTGAAAGCTGTTTCCCTTTTAGCCATATCATCAGAGCTCTCCCAAAATATTTTTTCCAAACAGGTCCAATTCTTGAAAGTTTTGTAACAGATTCTCTTTGCCATTTAAGTTTAGAACAAATTCCTACAAGCTTAGTTCATATTAACAAAATTTCCAACACTCTTACAATGTTAGCCACTAGTCAGATATTGCTTGTATATTTACACGGTTTTTCACGATTCCCAGTTAAAGAGACTCAAGTTGGTGTATTTTTTTTTTTTTTTTTTTTTTTTTTTTTTTTTAATCAAAATACCATGTAAAATAACTAATTTGAAGCATCTTAATGAATATCATATCATTCTTTCCACAGGAAAAAATGGGGTATTCTTCTGGAAAAGGTCTCGGAAAACATGCCCAAGGAGTAGTGGAACCTGTCGCATTATCTAGTCAAAGAGGTCGGAGAGGTTTGGGTCATATTGTGGAGGGTTTTGAAGAGGAAGACGTTGAATGGGATTTTGACCAAGAAAAAGTAGAAGTAATTGAAAATGTTGACTGGTTAGAGTACTATGGTAAAGATATTTTGCAATTGAAACCACCAGAAGACTTAACTAAACGGCTGCTGGAGAAAGGTATGTTTCATATATTTCTTATTTGTATATTCCTCTGAAATCCAGTATATTTTCGTAGGTTTTCATGAGAAATGGTGCAATGAGCTCTAATCAGGGTAAGAAATTAAGCATTACACTACCTGTTTTTTTAACAAAATTTTACGCCAAACATGTTATACTTATCAAAAATTTCCAAAATTAACTTGTGTGAGAAGCGAACGTTCGTAGTTTACAACATAAACAGAAAATTCAAATTTTCTGCTCACAAGAAAACTGTAAATAGCAAACTAATTATATCAAAATCGGTTTAGTGCTTGATTTGACTGAAGTAGACTTGGGTCTTTCTAAGAGCGGGAAGTGCAAATCACGTACTTAGCCAAAAACCATTATTTTCCAATTTATGAGTTGAATTTGGAAAATTTTAATGCGTTCATTGTACTTCTCGTGAAATTTTGATAATAAAAAATAAATCTTGATTCTTAATTTTGTCCTTATCCAGTGGTTTATTCCATCTCTAAATTATATAACATCAAACTCTCCATTTTAACACTCCCTCTCCCTTCCTATGTCAGTCCTTCATGCTAGGTGTGATTCCCCTAAAATTATGTAACTCTGACACAGATCAGCTTCCCTTATCAAATAGACCACCAGACAAGGTACAAAGTTAAGCATTCTGATACATGTTTCCCAACTAAAATTTCATGGAGAGCCCGATTCATGCAACGAAAATTACTGAAATTAACTCCTAATAAAGATGTCTAATTTTTCTTGACGCGTGAATTCAAACCTTCCGCTCATGAAAACACAATGGTCTGTGTGAGGCGAATTGCACACAAAACTTTCACAAAACTTTCACGAAACTTGATTTTCAATTGGGCAAAGCAAAAGTTGGACTGTCAGTCGAGCAAAAATTGAGTGAATTTCATCTACTGACATGTTTTACTTAGCATTGAGCCATTAAAACTGTTAGAGATGAAGGAAGAAAAACTTTGAAAACTAAAAATGAGTCACTCTAAATTGTTATGAGAAACTTTGCTCCCGCATAACATAGCATATCGCATGGTAGTTGATCTATTGTTTCTGAAAGAAGCCAAAAAGGTTTTTTTTACGTATATATATATCCTTATAATGTACGTGTCCTCTTTTATTTTGCAGGGCTGAAAGAGGAACTTGAGCGAGAAAAAAGAAAAACTTTGCTTGGTGGCGTGCAGAAACCTTGCCCCAAGAAAATGAGCTTGGATGATGAAACAAATTTCTGTGATCCAAAGCTTGTGAAAAAAGTAATCAAACACAAGGTGAATTGAAACATATTTTTGAAATCCATTAATTTGTACAACTGTATAACTATGCTTCATCCTCTCACTAGTAGGCTTTTCTTCTCATTGAAAAATATTCATTGCTATTAGTAGTAATTGGATTGCATTTTGCAAAAAGGAACCACTAGCATTGCAATGATGCTAAGATTGTGCAACTTCATCTTTTGCAATAAAATTGCGGAAATTGTGAAAAACTATGAAATTTTGATGGTAATTGTTGTCTTAAATTTACAGTTTTTAGCGAGTAAAATAGAAACTATGAATGGATAATCGGGTTTTTCCTCCAAGACAAGAGAAGTTGCACAATTGCAAATTGCAAAAACATTGCAATGCTAGTGGCTCCTTTTTGCAAAATGCAATCCAATTGTACTGTCCTATGGTAGCAATTTTATAAAAGACAGTGTAGTAGTGTATCTTCAGGATAAAAAATGCAATGAAGCGGCCATATTATCGCAATGTTTAGTGGAATTTACGTAACGCATATCCTTCCAATTTAAAGCACCGAAATGGCGCTGAGGGCAACAATGGGCTAATTGCAAAAATTTCTCTCTAGTCGAAGTGAAAAATTAAAAGCTTTTTTAAAAAAGCCTCAAATTCTGATACCTTTTTTAAAAGAATGACAAAATAAAGCTTGGGACAACAAGTTTTGATATGTTTGTTCTTCTGACTCGAAAGCGTAGACATTTTAAGGTCACATTTGATTAACTTAACAAATTGGGATGCTGCTAGTCAGAACCCAAAAAATTGTTGTTAGGTTTCATGAAAGTTAGTAACTTTAAGCCAAGGGGCTGTAACTGCATCTTCATTAATAACTAGAGGTCCTAAATCAACTGTTCAGTAAACCTGATGTCTGGAATTCAATTTACTACTTTTGGCTCTCTATACCTTAGAATGCTCATCAAGCTCTTTAAAATTGAAAATAAGTGGATTTTTGCCCTAATTTTCAAATCCATCACACAGTCATGTTTAGAAAAATTTGAAAACTTTTAAGATCAAAATTTTTAAATTTCATCCTTGGTTAGTTCAATGAATTAATATTTGAAGGTATGCATATCAGATGTTCTGGTCTTTTATAACCCGACTTTTTCAACAGACTTTTGGAAAGAAGTTCTTGTGTTCTTCATTTAGGTTGAAAATTTTTTATGATCCGTCTCCTAGGGATGTTTGGCAGCCGTTTTTTCTAATCTTCTTTTTCTACTTTTCTCGCAGACCGCATTTGACAAATTACATGCAGATGAAATGCGAAAAGCTCGAGACCGGTCGAATCCTTTTGAGTTGATTCGGGGTGGCATGTTCTTGAACCGAGCAGCCATGAAGATGGCCAACATGGACAAGCGGTTTGATTTCATGTTCACAAAGCCAGTTCATCAAAATGGGGTATGTTTTCTCTTTTAGCACATCCATGTCTCCTTCCTCATGTCACGGCTATTTTATGAACGAAGAATGAACAAAATATGAATAAAGTATTATGCATCTTATCAATGGACCACTAGACTAGGTGCAAATTTAAGCAATATCATATATGTTTTCTCATTAAAATTGCATGTAAAACACCATTCATGTAACATAAATTATTGAAATTAACTATCTGGTGTCTCAAAACAAAGATATTAATGTTTTTCGATTCATTAATTCAAACTTCCCTCTCGTGGAAAAGACCATAATCTTCTTGAATTAAATCGCAAATTAAATGTGACCATACAGGTCTCTGCGGTATATAAAATTACAACTGAAATCTTGGCGCTTCAGCTCAGCTGTTGTAGGTTGTTTACATTTTGAACAACACAGGGAAGGGAAAAAACATTGCTCGATTAAGAATCCTCCGGAAACTGTTCTAGTGCGCAATTTGATTCATGCAGACTCTACTAGATGCTGGTTAGAAGTCAATTTCAGCAATTTCCATTGCCTGAAGCGAGTTCCACATGAAATTATAAAGAGGAACCATAATTCAGAATGCTGAAATCCATACATTGTCGAATCATCCATTTTCAAATTTAGCCCAGAGAAACTCAACATTTTCAGGAATTTTTGAAAAAAAAAAAGCTGTTTATTTTTCCTGTATTTTTCTGCGCAATTTTTCTCAATCCTGCAAGTTTTCAAAACTATCAAAATATTAATGCCAGTACACAAGAACTTTTGAAAGGAAAATTGAGACCTTTCAGTCCATGTCTAAAATAACAACAGAAATTCACTCTCTTTTTCATGCATATCCACGATCATTGATCAAGAGGAAGGTTTGTTATTTTCAACTTGAGAAAGCTGAAAAAGTCAGGAAATTTTTTCTACAGTGTATTTTCAGAATGACGATTGGGAACTCTGATTGGAAAAAGTAAGCACAGAAAAGACTAAATAATCCTCATATAGAGCATTTATGAAGAACAAGATCTGCATTGAAGTTGTGGCTTTTGACAGCATCACCAAATTTTCTCATATCTCACTAAATTTTAATTACAGGTCCATTGATTCTATACAAACTTGTGGTTCATATAGCTTCATAAGTATTTGTTGCTCTTCGGTCAAGGTAATCATAGGTTTTGAACTTTATCTGAATGTTCTTTCCGGCAGGAGCCAATGGTAGGCAAGGACGAGCTTTTGTATTTTGCTGATGTTTGTGCTGGTCCAGGAGGTTTCACAGAGTATGTGCTTTGGAGGAAGAAATGGAGAGCAAAAGGTTTTGGCCTGACTCTAAAAGCATCAAATGATTTCAAACTGGATGATTTCTATGCGGGGCCTGCTGAATCATTTGAACCTCACTATGGTATTTTATTAACTTTTTATTTTTCTCTCCCAGATGAAGCAGCTCAATGTAAATGTTTCACGACTGTCAGGTTATTAATGTGTATGATCCTGCTTTCACCACTAAAAACATTAAAATGACATAACACTGCGATACATTTTAACAGTAATTAATGACAAAACAGTAAAATATGTTTAAATAAAATTAATATTATTGTGGTGTCTGAACATCTCTGCCTCTATGTTATTTTTTTAAAGGAGAACAAATTGACATCATTCCTTGGAGTTTTTGCAGAATTTTCTTTGCACAGAGAAGAAAAATCATGGCAGTTTTAAAGAACTGCTGTTGAGTAGTTTTCCGTTTAAAAAATAAGTATGATAGGAAGTCTGCGACGTCGCAAGCCGAGTCATGTGATTGCCGACTTACACTGTCAATTTCTTTTTTACCACTCATAGTTTCATACATTGCATCATCTTGTTTTATCAGGAAAATTTTTTGTGCAGGTGCCGCGGATGATGGAAATATCTACACCCCTGCTAATATTGAGAGTTTTCGCGACTTAATTTTTGAACAAACCGACAATAAAGGTGTCCACTTTATGATGGCTGATGGAGTAAGTTGCGCCCAACATTTCTCTTCTAATTTTATTCCAGTGTTCTTCTCCAGCCTCCAGCTTTCTCTAAAATAACTTTGTGCAAAAAGTGTGGACTCAGAAGGCCTTTTCTCTCAATAGCAAATTATGGAGTCTCATTTTTTAAACTAGTATAAACTCCTTTTTTCTAAACTCTTAAGTCATCCATCAGAAAGTTCAACCTGGGACTCCTTGATCATAAAACATGCAATATAAGCTCTTTGCCTCTGAAAAATGAATAGAGGCAAAGTAAATAAATTAAAGAAACGTTGCGTATTTTCTTTGAAAAAGCCAGTAATTTCGTAGGAAAATACACCAGTAATTCCGTAGGAAAATACAAGAGTAATTCCCTGGGAAAATACGCCAGTATCTCCTTGGGAAAATACACCAGTATTTCCCTCGGAAAATACTTTTTGAAAAAAAGAAAAAAAATACTAAAAAAAAATTAAAAAGCTCCTGAAACTTGACTCATGCACTGAACCTTTCTCCTAGTGAAAAAAAAAAAAAAAAAAAAAAAAAAATTATTTCTACATCAGAGTAGTAAAATATTATTGCATGTAAGTCTTGTGGCTAGTTGCTTACATGGAATTTTTCGTAATTTATTGTCATAATCTTGGTCTTAAACTCTTGTTCTTTCTTTGAGTAAACTTAATGTCTCTGTAGCCGTATAAATTATTCATGCATTTTTTGTTTTTAGGGTTTTTCTGTTGCAGGAGAAGAAAATCTGCAAGAAATTTTATCAAAACAGCTGTATCTTTGTCAGTGTCTTGTAGCATTGTTTGTTGTCAGAACTAATGGTCATTTTGTTACCAAGCTCTTCGACCTTTTTACTCCGTTCAGTGTTGGAATAATTTATCTAATGTACAGATGTTTTGAAAAAATATGTATATTTAAGCCTAATACAAGTAGACCTGCAAACTCAGAGAGGTAAGTTAGGATGGAATAAGTCTTATGCCTCATCAAGAAAATTTCAAGCAATAGTTTTGGTTTTTTTCCTTCTGTCAAATAAAATGGGAGTGGAAATTTTGGAACACTGCAAACAAGATTCACGTTTTTGCAGTTTCATCATTGATATGCACCATGTTAAATAGAGAAGAATAACCCCAAATGAAACTGAAACTGAGAAGAAGAGTTTTGAAATTTTTAGTTTTCTAAGACTCAATGTTAAAAACACATTTTAAGTCCTTTTTTCACAGACCAAATATATTTTTTTCCTCGGCTATGTATTTTCGATGGGAGAAAATATGTGACACGTAGCCAAGGGTCAAAAAGAAGCGGCTTAAAGGGTCATGGCAAGAGCTTTGCCCTTACAAAAGTCGCTTTCTTTATTTTTTTAAAGTATTCTCACTTAGAGCTGAAAAATCAGGAATTTTTTCAGAAATGAAGTTTAGAAGTTGCTCATTCAACAAAAAAGAAAAAGGAATAAAAAACATGTTAAGAAGTTAGAAATCCAAAAAACCAAGGTTGTTGGTTTTCTAGATTCATCATTGATGTTCAATCAATTATATATTATGGTGCTCCCCTCAGAAACTTGTGGAAATCTCCTTGGCCTTTTCTTCAAAAAGATAAGTTTGAAGCTAAAGTTTAGGCAACAAACAAATAACGCGACATATAAATTTATTTGAATCCAGCTGCGCAGAAAAGGAAAGCTTCATACTGAGTTTATCTTGAGAAAAAGAGATATAAAGTTTTGATTCTCCACCAGACTTAGGTGGCGAATTCAGTTTTCATCCCAATGTATAGTGCCAAATTTTGGGTTCGTGTTTGTCATCTTTTGATACAAAAAATTTTTATTGTAGATTGGTCCACATTAGATCCTAACTGAATTCTTTGGAATGAGTCTGCTAGTCTCTCAAGTATGATTATTTTCTGCATTAAGGTCTTTTGACCTGAGTATAGAGGACTCTCTGAAGTGAAATGCCTATAATTCTAACCCCTCTGACACTAGGTCTTTAAGCAATATTTTTTTTTTTGCCATTCTTAGAATTTTTGGTAAAGCGCTCGGCGTGGGCAAAGGAATCAAGACCATTGACAGAACGCCACCAGTTTTCCACTTATCAAAGCACATCAGGCAAACATAGGGCTACAATCCTGATTTGAAACATGTTCACTTTATGATTCTGTATTATGCGAAACTCCGATACAAATGAACAAAAAAAACAATTTTTTGCTTCAAAGTGAATTTACTCTCGACTTACTGGGTCTTTAATTTGATTTATTCTTACTGTCCATAGGTATCTGGTTTGCAAGTGGAAACGAAGCGAATCTGTGATAGAAGATATTAGAAAATATATGGAAAATGTCAATAAACTATTATGTAATGTCTATGGTAAGAATGAAAAAGCAAAAGAAGAAGCCAAAGAATCTAAGGAAAAAGTCGTTGAACTAGACGTCTATGAAATTGTACTTATGGATATAATGAAATCAGATGAAAATTTCTTCAACTACATGATCAAGTCAAATAATGAGTAAGTATTAACTCTCAGCTTTGTTTCTTTTCATTTTATTTAGAAATGTGTGTATTGTGATAGCAGTTATTTTTAATTCAGTGGAAAGTTATCAAGTAGGAGTGACTCATCTGAGTCTAATTAGATCTTTGCTGTGGAAACTCAAGATGTAAGCTAAGGCTGGACACTGGTTGTAACCAGTAATACCATTTGTGCTAATGTTTATTGTACTAGGTAAATAAGTAATACAATTTTTGCCAAAACAAAAAGAAAAAAAAACCACCTAAGTCATTTTAGTGAAAGAAGTAAACTACCTACCTCAAAAACTATTTACTGGTTTAACAAAATCTTCTGCTTTCTTAAAAATTGTACCATTTTATTTTTCACTTTGAATTCCAGATTGGCAAGTAGGCAGATAGTCAACCTTAAAAAAGTTGTAGCTTTTGTCAAGAACCCCAATCTTTTAGAGGCCAGGCAGAAAGATTTGAAAGAACAGTGCTTGAAGTATTGGGAAGTACCGGATGATTTGAGACACGCACCTAAGTGTCCTATGCCGTCAAACAGGCTTTTTTCCCTCGCTTTTGGTTTGTTTTTCTTTTTTCTTTCTGTGTTATTGTTATTTTTACGTTCAGTTGTGTTGTCATGTACACGATTATTTTCGATTAAGACTTGGGCAATTTTTCTGAGGTGGCATCTGCACGAAACTCATGAAGTCAAAAATTAAGGAAGTTGCCTTTTGTGAAACCCTCTGAAGGTCCGTTCAAAGTATAAATCATCATAATCTGGCATGAGAAGGATCTGAAAAGGCCCAGAGTAGATGAGCAAGGGATCAAGTCTATCCAGCGTAGATTCTTGAAAGGTGGCAACACTGTTTTTCCTGTATTTAAATGTATGTAAAACAATCGATTCTTGGTGAGGCAACTTGCCTCACCTAAAATTGATATATTTAAAGGATTAAAATGGAGGAAACACAGTGTTGCCAACTTGCAACATTGCCACTGAGTCTATCCAGTTCCAAGGCTAAACACCTATAGTTTGAAAACTTGAGAAATAAAAAAGAGGGACGAAAGAAAATTAGTGAAACTTAATTTTTTCTTGAGTTTTTTGTCTTCTTTTTTCCAATAATTTTGGTGAAAGATTTGCTACATATTTTTTATTGTATCTTTTTTCAAGTGGACCTATAGGTGGTTGAGGAGAGAGGACGAGTTCAACGAATTACCGGTCGTACTCACCATAGTGAAAATTACATATACGCATAAAAAGCATACTGCGATCAGTGAGCTCATGACGTCACGCGCTCAGCTGTTTTTTGCAATAGTCGCTCAACGAATGCAGATATTCGCAAACAAATTTTGGCATCGTTCATTGCACACTTTTCTTTGTCGATTTAGCCAAACTTGTTTATAAAGTTGTCGTCCCCTTTAATATAAAATTTCAAAACAGGTAAACGTAATTACAGGATAAATGATGTCGGTAATTGATGGCATCAATGAAATGGTACAGCTTTTTCATGGAGGCAACATTTCATACTATGATGAATTTTTTTTTTTTTTTTAAACAATGGAAGAATATTTAATTACTAAATACAAACTGGATTTTACTTCTATCCCAAAGTTTTATCCATTGATTTTTGCAATCCTTTCAGGCAAAGATTCGAAAATGCCGGCACCCACAGAATTGTCTAAAGATGGGGATCTTAGAAGTGATATTTTAAAGAAAGAATTTTTGAGCATTTATGACTGGCAATGTGTAACTCTTCAAGATCATGAGAAGACCACACTGTTTTACGGTAAAAACTGTTTTATCATTCTCATTCACCATGATTTTTCAGTTTTTTTTTTTATTCAAAATACAAATTTGAAAATCTTTCTTACATTCTCCGTGTTTCACATATTTGAAGTATTTTTCTGATCATTGAGGATCATCAAAAAAGCTTAGTTTAATTCTATGTTTTCACAAAAAAATTGTAAAGGCAGGAAAAAATTGTTATTTTCCATCTTGTTGGTACAGGTGAACATTTCATTAGAGGAGTCGTCCCTTCCTACTTCTGTGCAGTAGGATACTGCTCAATATTCAACATCGCCAATGCCAATCCACCGAAACTGGCCAAAATTCAAGTGCCGGGACAAAATCTAACCATTGCTAACAATCTGGCGTGTTTACATTCACGTTTTCCTCGTGTTGATGAAGATCCGTTTTGATAGCGCCGTTTATGTTTAATATTGCTAAACATTCTAGTACGCAAGGGTTGAATGAAACCACTCCTCTAACAAAATGTTCACCTGTGCCGTGGTATTGTTTTTGAAGCGGGAAGCTCCAAAAAACGCAAATTCATTACTTATGCAAATTGTGAAGTTAAGAGTGCATTCCAGACTTTGCCGATGATTGTGATTTTTGACCCGTTTTCTATAAGGATCAACTCTTATTCTTGCTCTAGCAAAATTTTGCAACAGGCCCTTTTGTATGTGATATGTCAGCTCAAAGGAATGGGTTAGCATGGTGATTTCATGTGCTCAGTTCAAGTTTTACACTCTTTACAGGTCAAGGTAGAAAACGAGTTCACAAATGGGGAAGCTCCAGTTGGAGTGAGTTGCCATCGGAACATTCATTACTCGAACTAAGTCCGGGAACTCTAGTCTATGGCGAATTAGTCTATGAATTCATCGGTGAAGGCAAGGGCCTTCGCAAGAGTGCTGCCTTCCACATTATTGACGCATACCAGCTGGGTAAGGAAGTCGTTGGTAATTTGAAGTATGATGAGAGGTAAGTTGCATCAACATCAATGGAAAGTTTTAAAACTGGTGGCAAGAACTTGAAAAAAAAATCAGGAAAACCTGAATAAGTCATAGAATTACTTTGCTCCTTTTTAGTTTTTGATAATACTCAGATTTATTGTTTTTTCAAACTTTTCTCATAGACTGTCTACTAATTTGGAATTTTAATCAAGCCCCAAAGAGTTAATCAATCAGATAGGGTAAATATATAACACTGAAAAGTTTGAAATGGTATTTCCACCAACTGAGTGGACCAATCGCTTAAACCAAAGACAATTATTTTAATGTAGATCCTGAAGTTTTGAAATGCATGAATTGTATGGAAAAAAGGAAATTAAGAAAAGTGCACTGTTGAGCACTTTTTGTGGTTAAGTGTCTATTCTATGCTCTTTTAAGCAAAGCTACCAATATTTCAGTTTCTAGTTACTCAGCAGTAAGGTGCTTTACCCTGTGGACAATCTCTAATGTTGCTAAGTCATGTAAAATTCAAGGAATTTTTATCTTTTTTTCCGAGAAAACTTGATAAAATCAGGGAGTTTTGTTCCTGGAGTTTTGTCCACATCTTGAAATAGTATATCGACGGTGAAACTACCAAACCACGTATCTCGTTTGCGGCGTTTAAAAATCTACGCTCACATTTTATTTTTTTGAAGTAGACCAAATCAATATCATTTCTTGAAATTTTCACGGAATTTTCTCCGCACAAAGAGGAAAAAACACAGAAATTTTCAAGACTGGATGTTAAGTAGTTTTTCATTTAAAAAATAAAGTATGAAAGGAAGTCTGCGACGTCGCAAACCGAGATATATGGTTTGGTAGTTTCACCGTCGATATGCAAAAATTATAAGCGACATTTTTCAAAATCATTAAAGGCAGTATCCTCTATTATTTCTGCCATCTGTTTTTAGGTATGAAATTTGTCAGCTGTTCTGCAAAGCCATGACCAGAAGAGGCTGTCCTGTCAGAATGAAAAAACTTCACAAATTGTTTGAGGTACCTTCGCTTCTGAATGAAGGGTAAGATTTATATTTTTTTATGATAAATTAGTATACATGAATAATTTTATGATTCTATCAAGCTACAAATGTAGAAGAAAAAAATATACCTCTATTGTCGTATTTTTTTCTGTCAGAAATCAATTCATTAATCTGGATGCACTATCTACCATCATCAGTATTCATCAGGCTTGTTCAAAAAAGCCTAAATTTTGGAAAGTCACACTTTCTAGGTAGTCTCCCATGTCTAAGGGTTCCAGTAGACTACCCCTAAAATTTCATCTGTCTACCCATTACACATCTTCTGAACACTTTTATCCTTACCCACTGGCTCCATCTTTTTTTAGTAAAGAAAATTTTGGTTTAAACGCAGTAAAAGCAGGTTTTGCACAAGAAATGGATTTTTGCATGTTGAATGTGGACGGAAGTGTGACCTTTTTAACATTTTTTTTTTTAAAAAAAACATCCAAGAGACTCTTGTGAATGAAAACTTAGTATATTAATGGAAAATAATCATATTTTCACAATATTTTTACCACTCCAAGAAATCTTTAGTATTCAAGTTAGAACATATCTCTTGCTTTGTGCTAGAATAGGATGTAAAGTTAATGTTTTCGTCCAAGCCTACTTATTGTTAGTCTGAATTTTATATTCGAGCCTTTTATACCAGTACTCTATATTTGAGTAATCATGACAGAAATTTTGGCAGTAGAGACATTTTCTCAATAATTTTTGCATGATCCATTTCATACTGAGTGAAACTAGTGGAGAGCCATTGTGAAAATCTAGTCACGAACCTATGCCCTCAGTGCTGTCACTCAATCAATAATGCACATATTATCTTTGTATCTCTCTCTGTCTCTTTCATGCTAACTGAGATTCTGTTTTGATTTCAGGCTAGTTCGGAAACAACTAAAAAATGTCTCCATCCATCGATTGTGTTTCCCAATTCCTCCATTCCATCATGAAGTCACAAGTTTGCTCTTTTTAAGCTCTACTGCAAGTAAGTATTCTCATCTGTGTCACTCAAACTCTACATCTGTATTTTTAAATGTAATTTGTCATAACTTGCTCTCTTTTCTTTTCGGTCAATGAAAAAAAGTGCTAAGTACAAAGACATTGAATCTTGAGACCGTGTGTGGTGCACTAGCGCTACAAGAACAGAGCGTGACAGGATTAGCAGCACTCCATGATGAGTGGGTGGGGAGAGGGAGAGAGCAGTGTGTCCCACGAACTCAAATAGACTGCAGAAAAGCAATACAGAATTCATTCTTGCGCTTGGTTTGTTGTACATTAGTTTTTTTGAGTCCAATTTCCGACAAAATTCCTGAAGACCAAAGTTGTAGAGCATGTAATTTATAACCATATTGCAAGGTTTCACTTTTCCGAACTAAATACCAACCAAGAAAAGTGCTTTACAATAAAAAAAAATTCACTGGGGCTGCTACCGCGCATGCGCAGTGGGACAACTAAGCTTATCAATTCAAGGCTGGCGCTCTGCATTACACTCATAAATCAGTGCGCCATGCGAATAACTCGGCAGTGAATAATGTTGTGATCTGGAAATAAATTAATAAACATATGTGAAAGAATGTGCGGCAGTTGTAAGACATCACGACATCTGTTGATGCGTTATTTTTTCATTGGAATTATGTATTAAGATCGGATTTCTGGCGACTTTGAAAGTCATTCGTCTAATTAAAATTTAAATGAAAACGAAAAATAGAAAAATAGAGAGGTCTTCTCATTTTTTTAGTACTTTCAACAGCCCCGTCAAACTTTGTTTTCTTGTTCTTTTTTCAACCTCACTAAATCCTCGTTTTTTACAGATGGTTGGTGTAAACATTGGTCCAAAAGTCAAAGCAAATTTTATTACTATCATGGCAAGTCTAAAGCATCCAAGTATGAGGATCATGTCAACATGGAAGTTTTTAATACTTTTGGGTAGGTCTGACTATTTTTCTCTATCCAACAAGCCAAATCGATCTCTAACATTGGATCAATATTATCTAAGTATCCTACAACCTGCCATACAGTATGAATTTAATTTGCCTATACATTCGTGGATTCATTGGTTTCTGAAAAGAGTCCTGAAGCCATTTTCAGCATCAAAAAAGTATTGGCCAGATCTCTCCGGAAAGTATCAGTTCCATCCACAGTGATATCCAGTGTTCTACTTGATAAAGACTGCACAATTTATTGCCTGTCTCTAATTGCAGAAGCATTACTGTTGCCAGTTTGTAGGTCTTTGTCACAAAAGTTTATGTACGGAGAACCAAGAATTTCAGTGCCGGCTCTTCAAGATTTTTCGATGTATGTTTGTTATGATCTTGTGCGTAAGGTGAGCTTTTCAAAATTAAATTCTCTTTATGCAAATCTGGAGAGAATCTTATCTGAAAAGAGCATTTTTTAGCAATTTTTCAGGCTTTATCAAGTGAAAAATGTAAGTGGTTGAAGAGCAAACTCCTTTTTCCTTGTCTAGTGCCACTTCGGGAGATGAGATGGTACATCAACTCATTAAAAAAGAAAGGCTTCGCACCTTCAACTCAGCAACAGTGCCACTTTACTGTATGATGACACTTGCAAATATGCCAATTTTGCGTTTTCCAGACCTGATTTTTTCGAGACTGGCACGTTGAAAGTTTGATTTCAAAAGCTCATATTATTTGGGAGATTGTAAGAAACAGCATATCAATGACTAAAGTGCGGCACCACATACCCTCATGGCGTTTTTTCAAAATCTCTGTTCCCAATTTGTTTTTCAAAGAGGAACAAATCAACTTTATAGCCTGTTTGTGCAAAGTATTCCGCTTATGGTGAAGAAAAATCAAGGAAGTTTTCAAGAAATTTTGTTGAATTTTTTCCCAAGGAACAATTGATGCATGACCGGAAGTCTACAGTGCCGCAAATGGAAATATGTGGTCTTGCACTTACGCCATCGATATTAAAAAATCTGAAAATTAAGCTGGCACTGAATGTCTTGGTATTGTTTGTGTAGTCCTTTCAGCCATGCTATTTTTAAACGTTGTACAATGCCGCAAATGGAAGTATGTGGTCTCGCACTTAAGCCATCGATATGAAAAAATCTGAAAATTAAGCTGGCATTGAATTTCTTGGTATTATTTGTGTAGTCCTTCCAGCCATGCTGTTTTTAAACGTTGTACAATGCTGCAAATGGAAATATGTGATCTCGCACTAAAGCAGTCGTTATGAAAAAATCTGAAAATTAAGCTGGCATTGAATTTCTTGGTGTTGTTTGTGTAGTCCTTTCAGTCATACTGTTTTTAAACGTTGTTAATGGGACTTGAAATGTTGATAATGGTAAACTTTGAAAATGGATTCACCAATCATTTCAACTGTCACCTGTGTCAGCTCAGGTTATCGATAACCCTATTCCTAGTTTAATTCACAGTGAGTGAAAACAAATTTTGGTATTCTATCTCTTTAATGACAAATATGTAGTAATCTTTGCATCGCAGCATCATTTTTATACTGCCCTCTCCAAAAAATCGAGGAGTCCTGAGAAAGTGCTAGGAATGGGAAAAAAATTTCCCGGGAACATTTTCCATGTTCTTTTCCAACATGATTGATTATTAGTTTGTGTTTGCATTTTTTTTCACAAAGTCTCTGAAAAAAGTGAACATCAGCCATAAAATCATGGAAACATTCACAGAAAGTTCCCTCTTAGATCTTTACCTTCCACTGTTATTAATTTTGCATACTGACTAAAGTGGTTTCTTCGTGCGCAGATTAACAATGGAACGGCTGAAAATCTGGTCCTGGAAGAACTATGTACCTGACTGTCATCCTCCTCGCAGTGTCACTGACAAACTGATCAACTTTCTCCGAACAAACACCGTCCACAAACGCACCTAAATTAACTTATTCTATTCCCCTGTGTTGTATAATTTTGAAACTAGCTAAGTCTGTGATGGAGTTTTAAAAGCCACCATACTTGTGATTCAAGTGCGTAGGCTGTTTAACATAAGTCGTATTGAATTTTTTAGTAAAACTCAGGACGCTGTTGATTGATTGGTACTCAGTATTTTATTATTTTGTTTCTTAGTACTTTCCTTTATTCTTTCCGTGAGTCCGCTGTTTTAGTGGCTTAAAAACTTTTGTGATTTCACTAAAATGAATAAGCAATTAAGATCTTCTTCCTGGAGTCCTGAAGTCCATTTGAACTCATTTCCTATTGGTTAATCAAAAATTGATAAGAATTTTTTCTGTTGCGTGTCGGTTGGGTGTACTGCCGAATCATTGAAAACTATTTTTGCGTTTCTTTAGTAGAATGCCAATAAATATGTCGGCAGTTGTTTACTATAGGCTGTTATCAATGGCCAAGGTGTGAAACCACGTATCTCCATTGCAATGTCTTAAAATATCCACTCCTATTTTATTTTTTTGAAGCGAAACAAGCCATATTTGTAACTCGGAATTTATATTGAATATTCTGCTAACAGAGAAGAAAAATAAAGAAAATTTTCAAGGAATTACGTCTAGTGGCTTTCCAAAGAAATAATGAAGTATGACAGGAAGTTTGCAATGTCCCAAATGGAGATACGTAGTTTTGCATTTTGGCTATTGATATGCTGCAAACTGCTCCACTTATCTATGCATAGCAATGATGTTAGCCCTCAATCTAGCAATGTGTAATTAATATTGAACAGTGGGGGCACAGCAGCTTGGAAACAGAAAGTAAATACATAACTGCCAATGTGTATGACAGTACTTCAACTGTAATTGTGCTCCAACAAAAATTCCGTCTTGGCAGATTTTTCAGTTCGATTTTTATGAAGAAGCTTCCATTCTTTTTTTACTTCTCCATACATAAATTGGCATAATAATTGTCTACTTAACTTAGTTAAGATAATGACAATTCACTTTTACGTACAAGTGTCTGATAAAGAAATTTCAAATTTGTTTGACAAAACACATCTTGTAGACTGGTTTTTTTTTTTTTTTTTTATTC